GCTTTATCATCTTGAGATATAAAACAAACTTGGTAAGGACCAAGAATTGATGATATTGTCTCGAGATCTTGAATGGTTGATTGATAAAAATGAGTATCTTGATGATTTCAATGTTGGTTTGCTAGAGAGCGACATAATTTCACCGGAACCGTCTTGACGTGTCGCTTCCCCTCGTAGCTGTTTGAATTTCGCGGAAGTAAACGTAAGTATAGCGCACTGCGGGATATTTCAAACCCAAGTTTTTTAATTCGTCCGCCAATTCGTCTAGAGTTTTACAACTTCTAATAAGCTCTGTTCTTCTTTTGGCATTTACCGCTCCACCAAAAATAGCTAAATCCGAGATTACTTCCAATATGCTTTCTTGGTCATATTCTATTCGTGGTCGACCTACTTTGTTCCGCAGTCCGAATTTTTTTGCGTATTCGGGATGTTCTTTGCAAACAGTTAAAAGAAACATTTTTTTTGCTTCTCTCCGTTTTTTCTGTCTCTTAATGTCATTTTTTTACCCTTAGTTTCTGTTGTTCTGAATGTAATTTGGTTTTTAGTTTTTTTAAATTCATAAAATCTTCTTCAGTCTCTAATCCAGCGTCACGTGCTCGAGCAACATCTAAGATCTGTCTTTCAATAATACTTATATTTTTCTTTATTTTATCTTGAGCTGGGGTTGAAATTTGTACCGTTGAAAATTCTGGTTTTTCAGGAATTTCGTCGGCAGAATTTGTTTTGTTAATTAAAGAAGCATTTTGTTTTTTACTTGTTTGTCCGTCGTTATTTCTAAACTCATGTATAACATTGTTATTGCATTCTTGTTCAACGTTATTCTTCTCTATTATTTCTTGTGGACTTTTCGAAGTTAAATATTTAAATAAAGTTGAGTTTGTCTTCTTTGATGTGGCTAACCGATGCAGATTTGGCAGATCTGCTTTACTTAATTCATTCCACAGACTGTTGACATCCTCTTGATTAGATTTTCCACTTTTTTCAGGGTGTGCTTTACGATAAGCATCGTACAGACGCTGATACATCTGTCCTCGACCAATCTTCATTTTTAAGCTACAAAAAAATATAATTAACACATTGATTAACAAATAATGTTAGAAAAATAATAAAATAAAAAAGAAATAATTTTTAAAAAACAAATAATGTTTGTGTAACAATTTTAAATTATTTACATCTATTAATATAAAAATATTGTGTTCTTTTAAACGTACTATCATGGAAACTCAAAAAGCAATCTTTCTTTTTTATAATTTTTTTAGTTATTCTTAACTCATTGTTTATTTTTATAATTATTTTATTTATATCACTATAATTCCTAATTAATTAATTCATTACTGTATATATGTACATAGCCTCAAATTTCACTAGTTCGTTTACGATTTTTAAGTTAACATACTTTATGTTTGATTTTAAAAATTCAAGAGATATATATGCTTTATTAAATTTTATTTGTCGATATAATTATATTTTTAGAGAAAGCTATAAGCAGATATAAGCAAAAGCAATTTTGTTTGTGAAGCAGGTTATGTATACCATTATTGAAACTCAACCACGTAAAAACAAACATTTAAGTCCAATTTATCAATATAACAATAAATTTTTTATTTATTTTATTGAAACTTACCGTGATAACTATCTCATCTCTTCTCGCAACAATAAACAAATAGGACGTACATCTGACAATTTCGTGTATTACGAAAACGAACAATATTTAGCACTTGTAGTATTTTTTTTATGTCTGAATATAGTCACGTATCTTATCTATCGATATATATCCCTAATGAGATGGAGATATATTGCATTCAAGTGGGAGTTGTAGTAAACGCGCACAAAATTTGAATTATAGTTTGAATGTTAATTTTCTACACTGCAAAATAAAGTGATGTCACACTTAGGCTGACCCCCCCCCCTTCCCATGTCACATTTTGTCATGTTTGGTGAAGACCCCCCCCTAAGAGCGTGGCATCATTTGTGAACGCTCCCATATTGAATAAAATGTAAACAATGTAAAGGTGAATACATTGGACGCACAGAAAGATATCTCAAAACTAGAATAAATGAACACCTAAATGACTGCAAAAATGATAAAAGAACTACAGCCCTTGTTCAACACTCACATACAGAAAACCATCTATTTAACGTCGATAATACCAAAATCTTATGTACCGAATCAAATTGGAAAAAACATCTTTTTAGAGAAATGTTCCATATTAGAAAATACACAAACTCAATTAACAATCATTAATTCGAATATACAATAACCTTATTCTATTAACTTACAATAATAACTAAATTAAATTTATAAATCATATAATAACAAATCAAAACCTGTAATAATAATATATAATTGAAAAACTAATCAAACAACACAACCCTTAATAGTATGCAACCATTATTACACCTGCGATATCCAACGAGTGAAAACACCTTCCAATGCCATCCATATTACCATCCAGTTAATATGTCAATGTTATAATCTGAATAATACCCACTGTAATTTTCAAAACTAACACCATTAAATAAATTAACATCAAGAAATAAAAACGAAAATGATAAACGATGGATTAATTGAAAACTCAATTAAACGAAAATTCAAATTTATAACATCATTCTATTATAAGTTCACATTTTTCAAAATAATGTAAGTATAGGTTAAGTAACAAATGTTAAAAAAAACTTTAATATAAAAAAACTTTAATATATATTGTAAACTTTATAAATATTATAGATATAAACTGATGAGGCTGAAAAACCGTGAGCGAAAACCTTCTCCTTACTGAGAATATAGTATAAAAACAAATGTATGACCAAAAATTAGAAAATAAAAAATTTGAGATCTTAAAAAATTATATCATTTATCACTGGTCGAAAAGAAAGAAGAAAAACATGTCTTCAGCAATAAATAAATTAGATTGGATAAATTAATTTAATTAAATTATTCTCGTTAAAATTAATTTTCTTACAATGTAAACAGAAAATTGGTTTAAAAATCCTTACTTCATAATTTATTTTTATTTTACCTGTTTTTTAATGCACTTTATGAAGGTGTCCATCTTGGGGCCATTTTTTTCAAATCAAAATTTGCAACAATTTGAAAAAATTCTTTAAAAAATGTTTGCAAAATAAAATTTTTTCTTCATGGCTAAAGGATACCTTATTTATTTTACTTTTATACGGTATGCACCTCGGTATGCACCGATTTAAATATCCTAAAACGTTTGGATTCTAGAGCACAAAATCGATTTTAAATTTTTTGGATCCGCCATTTTGAATTCAAAAACTAACATCAGATTTGAATTCAGCGACCTCAAAAACTATTGGATAGTGTATTGTGTTTCTCGTTACGTGTATGACCTTTTTGTAATAGGATAAGATTTAATTTATTCTAAATTTATTTCGCAAGACCAGACTAAAATAACCCAGCTAAAAATTACTGTACTATGTTGAACAAAATAACATTGTATATTTCAGCAGGTGGAAAAAATAACATTAATACCAGGTGAATAATATAACAATCTCTAAGACAAGTTTTATGTAAAAAAAATGGCGGCCCTAAAGGATCACTATAGGTTCCTACATAGAATCCTTAAGGTCATGTGTCTGTTGGGTCTGTAATGTTAATTTGTCCGTAACTTTTCTCGTAAAAGACTGAATGAATTGACCTGAAATTTTGTTGAGGAATTTAAAATATGATAAAGAATGGTTGTGAAGTGTGAAAATATTGATATATTGTTAAATAAATATAATAAAAGGCATAAAAATGGTTAGAAAATCCAACATTACTAACCCCACATTTTCTAACTATTTTCAAGTGTTTTATAATAATTATTCAACAATATATTAACATTTTGGCACTTGACAACAATTCCTTATCGTATTTGGAACTCCTCCATAAAATTTCAATTCAGTCCATTCAGTATTTTACGAAAAAAGTTACGGACAAATTAACATTACAGACCTAACAGACCTAACATAACCTTAATGGTTTCCTGAGGGATCCGCTGCAGGATATTGGAACAGGGATCTTGTACAGAAACCTGTGCAGGATTATTACTTACTATGGTTCCTCTGCAGGTTCCTTTGTCTGAAAGTTTAAAACAAATTTTCAAATAAAAATTCGGTACATGAACCTCCACAAGATCCAATGCAGGAACCTTTGTTCCTGAATTTTAATAACTTTACTAGTTGCACTGTAATTTCTATGGCTCCTACGTCTACGCAAAATAATTTTTTTAAATTAAGTGCATCAACATATATTCATCACAAAATTAAACAAAAATTTTTATTGTATTTAAAAAATACACCCTGGATCCTGCGTGGGATCCTGTCATGGTTCCTACAATACAAATGCAAATACAAATGCTCCTGCACAGGTTCCTGTAAAGGATCATATATAAAATTCCTGTTCTAATATCCTGTAACCGATCCCGTGTAGTATTTTTAACAGGATACCTCAAGGAACCTTTAAGGATCCTATGTAATAACCTCTAGGTTAAATAACAAAAACAAGTTTTTTTGAAGAAATTAATTAAATGCTACCAAGATATATTTTTGTATATCGGAAATGTCATTTGAATGTAACAATACTTTGTTATGAACCGAATTCTCTGAAGGAGGTATTCAAATGACTTTAGTTTACTGTCATTGTGTCATATGACACAATAACAGTAAACTAAAGATGTTATAAATTTTTGTTTTTCTGTATTTTCATTAGAAATTGATGTTTTTTCCAACAAAAATATATAAAAGCAATGCTGGGAAAATAAAAAGTTTTGCGAAAAAATGCAAAAAAGAACAATCTTTTTTATTCTTTTTTTATTTTTCCCCGAAAACCCATTGTCGATTTTTGAAATCGATTTCTTTACATGAAAAATATAACTTAATTTTAAAAAAAGAGAGAATTAAACATTTTTGATGATTGAATAGTTAGGAATATTCAAGTTTTTTTTGTTTAATAAAGATCTTATATTCAATCAGAATTAGTTGATTAGTAAATTTACCTGGGCGTCCAAAAGAATGTCTTTCGTAATTGGTATCTTGACCCAATGGATCAGGTCTATGTGAAGAAACATCAGAATCACCATCTAGATACTGATCTATAAATATACAAATTAACATGATGTTACTAATTAACATTTACTTCTTGGATTATGTCTTAGCAATAACAGGAGACACAACAAAATTTTTTAAAACTGTTGAAAAGCTTATTCAATTCTACGTACAGTAAGCTACATTTTAATAATTTCCTTAATAATTTTTTGAATTGTGATGTAAGAAAGAGACAAAAAATATCAAATTTTTTACTTATTTTTATCTCCTGATTTCAACTCTTCAAAAAAATCTAGTAAAACTTAATTAAAATTTTTTTATAGACTTAAAAATCTGTATTAAAATTTCAGCTCTGAAATAAGCCTTAGAAAATGAAATAAATGGTTGAATAAACCATTCCAGATAAAATTAAAAGAACATACCATTTCAGAATGCGCATTTTTTCCCTTACTTTAAAAATTGCGTTAAGAAGATAGTCAACGACAGCATTTAAAGAAAATAAACTTAAATATTGAGTATGAACTTCAGATCATAAGTTTTCATTTGAAATTTATTTTGTTATATATCTGTCAACTTAAAATGAGAAAATTTTTTTATCCGAAATGGAACGTTTTTCGAATGTTATCTACAATGGTAAGATTTTCAGAACTTTATCCGTAATCATATAACATATAGTTACAGTCTCTTTCAATTTGGGGGGCAGCGGCAGATTGCCGTTTGTGTAAGTTTCATCCATAGTTAGTAATATTTTTAGCATTTCAAATGAGACCTTAATTCAGAGCCGACAAACATGTTTTGAACAGTAAAACTGAAGTAATAGAGTGGGTCATTAACTTTCAGGAAATTCAAAAACATTACATTTGAGTAGTAGAATTAGTCTTTTAGTTTGTCTGAAACTCATCATTTACAAGTTTTTAACATATATAGGGAGATTATAAGAATTAGTATCCAATTAGTATCATTTAGTATCCAATTTTTTATATTTATAGTAAAAGTTCCTTATTTCTTTTTGTCACCGTAAAATGAAAATTAAAATGGATGATTTTAATAATCAAATTAAACAAAATGTTCTTTTCTTGTTTTAGAAATATTAATTAATTAATTAATTTGGCACCATTTGAAAGAGCAAGAAAAAATCTTTTGAAAACACATAGATCAATATTTTTTTACCCATTTAAACAATAACTATGATTTTACAAAAAATTCACTGTTCGAATTTCTTTTTAATTGAATCTCTTCAGAAATTTTGCCTCTTATGTAAACTCTTTGCTAAATTAACATCAAGGAGATGTTATGTTGAATAATTTTTATAATAGGAGAGAGTCCCCTGTTATGCAGCAGCCCCGGTTGTGCAGCACTTGTCATTTTGTTCATTTTTCTTCATCTATTGATATGAAACTTATGTCAACATTTAGTCACGTTATAAATATGAGAGATTCTTTTTCAATCGTCCCAGCCCACCCTGTTGAAAATTCCTATGTGAGAACACATATGGGATCCCATCCAGGATCTCTTGTGAGTTCTTATGTGGGTTCCCATACAGGTTCACACATAAGATCCTGTATGAAAAGGTTCCTGGGATGAACTTGCGTGAGATCAAGCGCACGATCTTATGTCTCTGTAAAAGCAATAACACCACAGAAAATTAAAAGGTATTAAAATAAGCTGCAACGCTTCTTATTTTAATCCATTTTTACTTATTTTAATACCAAAATGGATTAAAATAAGAAAAATTTGATTAAAATAAGAAGCGTTGCAGCTTATTTTAATACCTTTTAGTTTTCTGTGACAGGATCCCATGAGGTTTCCTGTGTAGGTTCCTATATGAACAACACGATAAATAGGAACACACATGAGATCTTATCCGAGATCTTGTATGAGTTCTTACATAGGTTCTCACAAGAGATCCTGGATGGGATCCCATATGTGTTCTCACATAGGAATTTTCAACAGGGCAAAAAGTCAGTGTTCTGGGATTGGCTTCATACTTTGGTAAATTGTTGTCCTCTATGATAGTAATAAATCCCTAAAATATAAACTCATTAAAAAAATATTTGTAGAAAGTAGAGGGGGTTGAAGTTTTGACGTTAAGGGTAACATTGTAATTTTCAAATCCGTATAACTATGACAAAAGTTAATGGATTTTAATTTATCTATAATGAATTTTAATGCATTTTTCACGTACTTTTCAAAAATGTATACGAAATTTTAAAAAAAATCTGCCCGCTCCCCCTTCGGGGTAGCGGACACATTCTCATCCGCGCGCGAAGAGCACTTCGTCGCGCTACGCGCTCCAAATGTTATGCTGACTCTACATTTAATATTATATTATAATATTTTAATATAAAAATTATATATAATAATTATATTATTATTATATAGGATTAATTTTCTTAAAGTTCTTCGACTTTAAGGACAACATTCTCATCATGGCACTCACGTTTCACGCTCGAATGTATGATTCGGAATTAGAAGTGATTTTGAGTATTTGGATTTTTCAAATATATGAAACATTTGAGCGAACGAATACATTTAAGGGGATAGTATCCCATCTCCATTATTTTTTTCAAATAGTTTTTTTAATTAAACAATTTATTTTATTTACTTCAAACTTGTTATACATAAAAGTAACGGTTATACACTATTCCCAGTTGAAAAATCTTGTACAAGATCATGTACATTTTCTTGTTCAAGTTCAAGTACTTGCACATTAGCGTGATCTTGTACAAGAGTAGAAAACGAACCTGTAAATAGAATTGGAACAAAGTACATGAACATGTACATGCAAGTGTACTTATTTACAACTTTGTGTGTGCAAAATTGCAAATCGATTCATTTCGATTTACAAAAGTTATTGTGTCAACAACATTTTGTGTCTACATATAGACAGACACTTTCGCCGGACCATGATTTTTCGACTCAGGGCACCTTAAAACGTAAAGATTTCAGGGAAAAAGAAAAAGTAAATTTTCGACCAATTATAATACCTTCTGATGTGATGAGAATGTAAATTTTTTTTTCAAAATTAACCCTTATTTTTCGATTTTCACCCCTTCGGGTATTTTTTTTTTATTTTCATTGGAAAGCTGAGGTTTTTTCTCATGAGCTATGTAAATATGAAAGTGGGAGAACAATAATATTGTGAGAAACATAATATTAAAGTAGGCGGTGCCGATAATGGGTATACCTGGAGATCATCTTCGAGGATTTAGGTAGGCATCGCCTACTTTAATATAATGTTTCTCACAAAATTATTGTTCTCCCACTTTCATATTTACATAGCTCATGAGAAAAAACCTCAGCTTTCCAATGAAAATAAAAAAAAATACCCGAAGGGGTGAAAATCGAAAAATAAGGGTTAATTTTGAAAAAAGGGGTGAAATTTTTTTTTTTTAATTTCGTATACATATTGAAAAGTACGTGAAAAATGCGTTAAAATTCATTATAGATAAATTAAAATCCATTAACTTTTGTCATAGTTATTCGGATTTGAAAATGACAATGTTACACTTAACGTCAAAATTTCAACCCCATCTACTTTCTACAAATATTTTTTTAATGAGTTTATATGTTAGGGATTTATTACTATCATATAGGACAACAATTTACCAAAGTATGAAGCCAATCCCAGAACATTGACTTTTTGGGCTGGGCGATTGAAAAAGAATCTCTCATATGTTTTTGAGCAAACACCGATCTGCCAAATATTATTTAACCTTTTGTGAGCACTATGAAAAAAACGCTGCAATAATTTTTCCAGTTTTATAACAAACTGATTTTTTTACTTGTTTATCAAGCAAAACTAACGAGCTTGAAAAATATTTACAACTTTTAGAAACTCAACTTTAGTCCTCTACTTTATGATGCAAAAAGAATTTTTGTGAAATAATTGAATCGAAAAAAATTAAGAGGTCATTTGCAAAATTGTCCCAGACCAGGTTATGCAGCACCCCAAAACATCATTTGGTGAAATAATTTTGTTCTAAAGAAGAACGTCAAAAACCATACAACCAGACGGGCCTGTTAATATCCCGTTATTTTGTAAATTTGACATAAAACTCGCCTCCCCACTCTCTCGCTCACACACACCGAATCGATGCAATGCGACGACCTTCGAAACTTTACTATAGAATAACCACGTTTACTCCCCGTCACTAGCGGTAGATCGGTTTGTAAACATAGTCGACGGAGTTGCGGATCACACAAATACGGTGCCAATCTTTACAACTGGACGGGCCTGCCAAAGTCAGGTTACTTTGTAAGTTTGGAATAAAACATTAGCGTCTTGTTCACACCAACGGTTTCTCCCTAACTCTTATGGTCTCAGCTCACTGCGGTACTACTTTCGGACCTCTCGCTTCAACCAATATTACTATCTCCTCCCTTACCTTGTTTTCCACATCAGGCAAGACCTTTCTTCGGTTTTAAAAATTCACGCTCTCTGTATTAATATTATAATTCCAATAAAATACTAAGTTTGAATGCGCATTCGATTATAAAATAAATAGACTATGTTAGTATATATATACTTATATATCCAATGGGCACGGTCATCCACTGGATGCTCCAAGGACATCCTTTTCGGAACGTTCTTGGGACATTGTTAAAAAGTCGATCTAAAGATATCCTTAGGACATCCCAAAAAAGTCCCTAAAAAGGCATCCTGTAGATGTTAGAAAGAATGAAATAAAGACATACAAAACAAGTTCTATGTCTGGCCTAGAGCAGTTACAAAAATATCCTTCAGAAACCTTAAAGATATTTTTGAAAATAATGGAAAAAATTTGATTCTTTTCAGTACATTTTTTAGACATATTGAGGATATTACAAAGAAGTCTGTTGAACATTTTTTGGACATGTTTAGTACATTCTCAGACCATAATCCTTTTTCGGCGAATTAGCCCATAAGGATCAATATATATGACCAATAATCGCGATATACTTTTTTTGTGTATTTGGATCTTCAAGAGCACTTCGGTGTTGTGGGTCGTTTGGCGTTTAAGACTTAATACCCTTTACATTACGCGCTCTTTAACCTATGAAGTAT